AATCTGTTCAAACTCCTCCCCTCTGGACAGTGTTACAGGTCACTGTACACCAAGACAACCAGGCACAGGGACAGTTTCTTCCTCCATGCTGTCGCTCTGATGAACACTTGACCCACGATAGTATGACTGGACAATAACCCTCAGCGAAATACCCGCAAATGTTCATTGTACAGACTATTCAGATTCATACAGGTCTCTATAAGAAATCACAATGAGCATTCCTTTGTCTGTCTGCATTGTTTATTGCCTGTCTATACTGCTTATTTTGCATTGTTTGCACTGTTTGTTGCTTGTTAATACTGCTTATTTTGTTATATTACACAGCCTTATGCTGGCTTACTGTTTACTTGCCCCTTGCATGCGGCTATGTACACACACATCGAGAGCCGATGTACCAGAGTCAAATTCCCCGTGTGTCTGACACACCTGGCCAATAAAGCACATTCTGATTCTGATTATAATTCTATGGGTGTACACAAACAGGCCTGTCATCTGGTTTGAGATTCTGTACACATCTCCTGGCCATAGGGCTTTTCCCCTTTGCTCTCAGTACAAGATTCCACTGAAATGACATGACACAGCCAGGCAATACATTTTCCCATAGTCAACACGCACACACACAGATCCCATGGTGGAGCCTGTTTAAATACAGTAGCTGTGAGCAAAAATGTTTAGTTTAATTGTAAACTGAGCTCAATCGAAAATTTTACTGATGCTTTGTCTTGAGAAAGCTGTAAAACACACATTGTCTCTTCAATAGCTAATATCCCATTCATGCTTAAATGCAGTAATGTAGTAACAGTGAGGTGATTTGTGATTTCAGGCAGCTTGTGGCTCAGTTTTCATCATCGCTGCATAAAGGGTCTCAACAGATGGTCTTCAAATACATATGGCAGCTGTGAACTGATATTTTCACACTGTATCCTGAATGAAAAGGTATGTGCGTGAATTATGAGAGACAAATTTGCCACAGAGGTAGCAAGATGAGCAGGTAGTTCAGATACAGTCACTGAAAATAAAGTGCTCTGCTTCCATCTGGTGTCTTTAAACAGACACTGCAGGCAAAACAACCTTCATTATGTAACAAATACTGTTTGTACTGTCAGTCATGACACCCTCCACTTGTGTGATCATATCCTGTGATAAAAGATAGCAGTCAAGAAAGAAAGCACAGGATAAACATTTATGAAATAACCCCTAATGTCTGTGATAGGTACAGTAAAATCGTTGTACAGTCTGTATCCATTTAATACAGCTGGCTTATTTAGTATGCATCTCACACAATGAGCAGTTTTAATCTACAGCCTTATAAATTTACAGTAAGTCTCTGTGTGATCCACAAACTTTCTCTAATTTTGCACAAATTGTCTTCTTCGTATAATGACCAACAGCTGGAAAGTACTTACTAAATTGTTAGTAAAGTGTTTCAAATACTTTGCCCTCCACAATATTTTGAGTTTAATGAAAGAAACACAGCTGACAAACACTGAGATTCACTCAGTGCTCCACTTTAAATGAGTCTCAGTGAAGGACCTTATTGGCCTTCCTTTTCCAGGTACTCCAAGCTGGGCGCATCCAGCCTCTGTTCATGGTTGCGGTTCTTTGTGAACTCTTTCAGCATATCCATGACCTCTCCTTGGTAAACATCAGGCGTGGGCTGAGCTTCTGTGAGGAAAAAAAAGAGAATAACCTTATTATTTTCTGCGTGGGTTCTCTCCGTGTGCTTCGGCTTCCTCCCACAGTTCAAAGACATGCAGCTTGGGTTGATTGGCGACTGTGAGTGAGTGTGAGTGTGTGTGGTTGTTTGTCTACATGTCAGCCCTGTGACACACTGGCGACATGTCCAGGGTGTACCCTGCCTCTCGCCCGATGTCAACTGGGATTGGCTCCAGCACCCCTGTGACCCTCATTAGGATAAGCGGTACAGATAATAGATGGATGGATGGATTAATCATGTGACAGATGGCTGAAGAGCAATGAGCACTCAGAGGGGAGCCTTCTGACATCACCTGGGTCTATTTTAGAATAAGCTGAGAACATAAAACTGAAAAAGACTGATGGTGACTGAGTCAACATGACATTTTGCTCCTGATAATAAGGAAGGAAATACACATTATATTGTAGTACTGGGAAAAGGCAACTGTGATCCAAAGACAGAAGACAATAGGGCTCATTTAAGGCTTCTAGGTGACAGACTATGTGTGTGACCTTGGAAATTCTCTGCTTACTACAAAACCTGTCACAGTGAATAACTTGGTAATATCATTATTATAATCTGTATTATTATTAAAAATATTTATTTCAGTAAAGTCAGACTAGAGTGGTGCTGCTAGCTGGATGTGTTGATACTGTTCTCACACTGATTCTGTTTTTCAGATGTTATAAAGTTACACAAAACAGACACAACACAAAACAGACACATCATTGAACCCAATTAAGAAAAAATTACAAGAATAAAATGGTAAGTTATCTTGGGCCAGTGAATGAGATCCCAGGATGTAGTCTGAGCCAAAAGAAACTGCAAAAATCCGCAACAACAACAAAAAAACAACTTTTATAGTTATTATGCCGGAGTTTTCCACATTTTGTTACTCATTGAATTTAAAAGGAAATTTTCTGATTTCTTCGTCTCTGTTAACACAAAAAACAAGTCAAAGCAAAGATTTATTATTTGCTATTTGGATAAACATTAATTTTTCAAAGATAAATAGTTTTTGTGTCAAAAGAAAAGAGCTGTTCTCTCACCTGTTGCCCAGTAGTAGATATCCCAATCATTGCTTGGCTCATTAATCAGTCTGTCATACTGCTGCAGCTGGTCCTCAGTCATTGTGTTCAGGTATCTCTTTGCAAAAAGGCTACAAGAGAGATGAAGAATCCATTCAAGTCTGAGTCTTTCCTCTAAATGGAAAGTCATACAAGTCATTATGAGAGCTGCTGGTGAATGGGACAAAAACAGTCCAGTTTAACAACCTGAGTATTATGCAGTTTTCCAACATGCCCCTCTTGCGGCTCTCATAGAGAAGTCGGCGCCTCTTGATGTTAATGGGCTCGTCTGGCTTCTCCTCCCAAGGGGGCAAAGGAATTTCAATTAGGTCACCCCTGGTGTCATCATGGTAACCACGGGACAATACCAGCCCTGTGACTGCTGGTCTCCATGCTGCCTGGCACAGCCCTGTAACCAGCTGACAGGCAACAAGCACATGTTTGAACAAATACTAGTGCCCTATTCATCTCATGCTGTATCATCCAATATGTGACAATGTTGTCACTACATCTGATTGCAGCAGTTACATTGTGAAACATTACCTATGTTTTGGATAAGAGTAGCAGTAGGACATTGGCCTAAAGATTCACTTCACACTTTTATAACAAGTTGCATGTAAAGATGGCTTTATATAGACTATATGAGAAGTAACTTTTTAGTTTCAAATATACACTATATAAAGCTGGTAACTAATGATTTTAGGTATTGTATTTTCAAGTTTAATTTTTTCATTCATCTC